GTTTCACTTTGAACACAAGGTCGGTGGTTCAAACTCACCAGCTGCTCCTTGGAAACCCTATACTTGGTGGCTATGAGTCGGAACAGACTTGACAGCAGTTAACAACAAGTTTATAGTAATTGTTGATAAAAATTTCCATAATTCTTACCCTTTGGTCGGTTGATGATGCATAGAGGGGATTGGAACCATGGTAATGAGATGGAATGAATGTAAAACTAAAATTATCTCACGTAAAATATCATAATTCACAATAAAACATTAAAAAAAATCTTAAGATCACTGTGTTTTCTGGTTATAGAGGATAAATTACAGTATGTATCAGCAGTAAAAAAAAAAAAAAAATTCCATAATTCTGACAGAAAAATCTTATGGAGTACACGTTTAGTCTGACACATGTGGGTCACAATGAGTAGGAGTCCACTCAATGGTAACTGTTTTAGAGTGAGTGAGATCACATGGGAAGAGGAAGGCAAACAGAGAAAGAAGGCAAGAAAATGCCTCCAGCTCTACGGGCACTCTGCCTTTGCAAGTGAAGAAGATCACACTTTCCTTTGAACTACTCGTCAGGAATGGCCTTTGAACTGTTGGATATTTTTAATTAAGAAGTATTTTTCTCTGTTCAATTCATAAAAAAATCATATAAAGAAGAAAATATCCTTTACCTTCTCATGGACTAAAGCTGCTGTACAGTTCAATCTTCCTAATATGTCCCCAACTTATCCTTTCTATGATCTACAGAGAAGGCCCTTAGGCTAAATTTGGGGTTATCACTCTATGTAGTTCTTTGAAATTGTCTATAAAACTTTTTAAGCAACTTATAACATTTTTTGCACATTTTAAACAATGTGCATCAGTTTTTGCACATTTTAAACAAAGTCATCAATCTGTGTGTTTTGTATAACTTGCTTTTTCCCTTAAAAGTATCCTTGTGAGTTCTATTTATGCATTTCTAAGTTATTCATTCTCACTACCTCATCAAATCATTTTGAAAGTTGTTAGGTGCTGTCATGTCGGTTTCCACCCATAGCCCCATAGCAACCCTGTATAGGATTTCTGAGGGGCAGCTGGTGAGCTTGAACCGCCGACCTTGCAATTCAAACCAATTTTGCAATCCAGCGCATTAATCCACTGTGCTGTGCATCATAATTCATTCTTCCTCTGAATGTTTCCCATTTCGTGATAAGACAAACTATGCTGCTTTGAACACTTGAACTCATCTTCTGGTGCATATGAGCCCTGGAACTTCATGGGACTTATTTCGAAAATCCACTGTCATCAAGTAGATTTTGATGCATAGCTACCCTATAAGACAGAATAGAACCCCTCCTTAGGATTTCTGAGACTTTGCAGGCAGTCTTATCTTTCTCCCTGGGGTGACTGGTGAGTTTAAACATGTGGTTAGCAGCTCAACACTTCGTCCGCTGGCCACCAGGGCTCCTGCTTTTACCGCATACTGTTATGTGTCATCGAGTCAGTTCTGACATACATCGACCCTGAGTCGGGTTTCCGAGGAGCAGCTGGCGGGTTTGAACCACCAACCTTGGGGTTAGCAGTCTGGTACTTATCTCACAGTGCCACACCAGAACTCCTTCAATATGGCTGTTAATATTGCCAGTTAATATTGCCATCAGCATCTTAGGAGTCCCTATTGTTCCATCTAGATAGACATCACTTAGTGTCAAGAAGCATTAGTTTTGACCATCTTTAGTGTTTCCTTGTGAT